ACCTGGACCTTACTGTTCCTGGCCCCTGTGAGGGCCCGAAGCCCTCCACAATTGAGGCCTCTCATGGGCTACCTTCCTGATAGTGTCCTCCCTGGGCCAACCTCCCACTGCCTTGGGGCAGCGATCACAAGAGCCCAGGCCCCAAGCTGCTGTAGGCCCTGGGGAGGTGTCCTGGCCAGGCCCAGGCCCCGGCCCCGGCCCCGCCTGAGCTGGGTCCCCACCACGCAGCTACATGGCCAGCTGGGCATGTTGTACGCTGCAGATTCTAGAATAGTCATAGGGCGTCAGGGTGGACAGCCAAGGCCAGCAGCTTGCCTCCCCTATAACACATGTCACACCTGCCTCAGGCACCTGCTCACTTTAGAAGGTGAGGGACACCAGCACTTCGAGAAGAGTGAGTGGAGGCCTGGGTCCCTTTCCTAGAGGTGCAGAGTCTTCTTTCCTCCCTTCTTCCAAATGAAGGGAGCAGGTGGGGGCTGGGCAGCTGGCCATACCCAATGACCTGCTGAGGCCCATCGGGTGACACTGCTCTTCCTATCATAGGTGGCCAGAAGCCCCCTGAAGGAGTTCGACAAGGAGAAAGCCTGGAGAGCCGTTGTCGTACAAATGGCCCAGTGACTGCAGGATGGGGAAACTGAGTCATAGTGACCACCTGACTAACTCTCCTGCAGCTACTACTTCTAACACCTGCCCCCAGGGTGGCCTAGGCTGTGAGGTGGTTTTGTTTCTTCTTGTAGTTCTGATGACTGCCCTGTGAGTCAGTGCTTCTCAGTCACAGCTGCCAGGGGCTCCCGGGGACAGGGAGGGTGCTGGTGCTGGCTGTCTAGGGCAGAGATGGGTAGAGAGGGCAGAGATGGCAGACCTCCAGGCTTCAGCCCTCTCTGCCAGGGATTCCTGCGTTGGCCCTTCCCCTGCGGCCTGTATGTGCATACAGACCCTTTGCCCTGTATAGGTTTACCTCTTGTGATGTGTCCTCACCGGGCCCAGCCTGCCAAACGCCATCCAACAATGAGAGGGAGGGATACTGTGCCCCTGTAAGCTGGAGAACCTTCCCTCTAGGAATGCCACCCTTCTCCTGTCATAGGCACACCCTGAGCCTTTGCTCACTCTTCCTATGTACCCCAAATATTCCAGGACCTGCCTGTTCACGGGCCCTACTCCATACTCCCCAGTAGCCCTGTGTCCCATTTATGTGGCCCTTGTGACACCTGGAGTGTTCTCTGGGATGGGGCTGGTATTCTGGGATTGGAAACTGAACTTGACCCCATTAGCAGCACACAGGTGACTGTCAGAGAGTGACAGGTGAGGCTGATCTTCCTTCCCGCAAGGCTGGGGATCCTTCTATCCCAGTCCTCTTTACCTCCTAACGTGATTTTCACTTACCCCAACACCAGGCCCAGTCAGTCTTCCCAGCGCTGTTGTTTGAGGGTCTCAAGGTGTGTATGGGCCCTTTGTTGGGTCAGGCTTTAGGGACCATATGGGGATGAAAATAACATTAGCTTTGATAAAAAGAAAGAAAAAATCATGGCCAAGATTTGGTTGCAAACTGTCTTTCCTTGACCAGAGCGTAACTGGGTTTTCCCAATTGACAAGAACACCAATAAATCCACAGTGATCTGGGTACCTTGTAAAGGTGGAAATGTGGTTAGAATCAGCTGTGGTGCTTTCATTCACAAGTCTGTGCATCAAAGTGGATTTTTTTCTTGCTAGAGGAGAAGATAACAGCTGTGTTTAAGGGTAAACTGGGTTCTTTTTTGAACGAGTTGGGGCACACTGACTAGCTCCCCCAGAGATTGGTGGAGAGGCCTGGAGATGTGTTTGTGGCCTGGGACCGCAAGACAAGCCGGGATAGACTGGCCAAGGGGATGGGAGGCGGCTCCTAGCTCCTCACTTCTCAACCTGGTGACCCGTCTGCCAGGACTCACGGCCAGGGGACCACGGTTTCCAACTGCGCAAGAAGAGTGCAGGCAAGAAAGACAGCTGGAAGGCGAGCATGCAAGCCATGAGTCCCGTCTCCCGCGAATAGCCCTTCCGCCCTCGTAGGATCTCAAGAGCAAGCACAAAACCAGAGGCCAGCTGTGCCCAGCCAAGTGCCCATCATGCCCGGGCTGCGCCTCTTGGAGGCCCCGGGTGGGCCTGGGCCGGAAGTCCGCCTTCCTCTCAGACAGAGGCAGGGGCGGGCGCTTCCCCGGCCAGCGCAGCCTCGGACAAGTCCGCGGGCCCCCCGG